ACCAATTCAAATCAACCCCACAAGGTATCTTCCATCAACATGTCGTCTTCTAGGTCTTTCTATCAAAGAAAACCACTCGATTTCGGTGTTGATAATAATTCCTCTGATTCTGCAACAAAGATTCCCTTGACTAGAAAAAACCTGATAAAGGGCAGAAAAAATATAGAGGAGACGAAAAGCAGGGAAACGGAGAGAGAAAACCCAAAGAGAGGAAGAAAAGAAACAGCTTCAAAACGGAAAATAAATATCATTAAAAACCCCATTATCTACACATAGCATGATGTAGAAGAGCAACTTTGCAAGAAGGCAAAAGGACAGCAGTTCTGTAGGAGCAAGTAGAGGAAAAGAAATTATTAATTGTAAATATTTTTTTTAAAAAAAATTGAATGAAAATCTTGCTTATCCGCGTTGCCTTTTATGTGGGAGGCCATATCAAAACTTTCCAAAGTGTGAATGGGTCCAAAGATACGTGCCTTGCTGTATTCAACTCTCCATCTTCCTTCCTCCGTTGAATTGCATCACTGATATTTTTTTTCTTTAAATTCATTAAAATATTTTCATTTCGTTTTCCATTCCATTCCATTATTTATATGGAAATTTGTTATGCTTAGCGCGTCGAATATTGATTAGACCCCAGTAGGGGCGTTTCCTTGGACTTAAAAAAAATCTTAAATCCGTTGACGTCCGTTCCTGCAACCAGCATGTTCGTGTTCATGTTCATCATCAATCATGAAGCAATCCGAAATCTTAATCTGCCATATTATAAAACATGAGAACGTGGGGGTGATCTAGCTGTTGCTTGCCCACAGTCGCACTGGTTAGTTATGTGTCTGTGTCTTTGTCCCGTTTTACAGATTCTCAGATGTAAGCTCGATTTCTTTAAATAAATATACAGACAGACAGACAGATGCCGACGAAGGAAAAAACATCCTCGTACGATTAAACTTTACTTAGTTTTTTCATTTAAAAAAAAAAACTAAAATAGTATATTTGGTTCTAAATATAAGAGCCCATTTGATTTTTATTTTGATCTTAAATATAAGATCCCGATCTACTTCATCTATTATATTTATCTATTTTTTAAGGTAATTTTTGTAATAATAGTAATTCTAGCCAATATCTTTTGATTAATAAGGACATTTTAAGAAAGACAATATCTATTTATTACAAATAACTAACTTAACTAGTTTTTTTAGTTTATTCAAATAAATTAATTGACATAAATAGTAGTTGAGTCATTTCTCGAAGAAAATAATGGCTAAAGAGAAGAGGGGAAAGTATGGAGGAAGAGGGGGAGAAGGGGGAACAAAATATGTCAGTTACTATGTATAGTCAAACATACAGGAAGATAGATCGGATGGGTCTCTGCGAAATAAACTTAGTTTTGTTGAGAGATATATTATTGTACTAACTTTAATCCTAAATATAGGATTTCAAGCTACTTTTCTTATCAAATTTATTTATTTTTTCTTTAAGTATTATTATTATTTTTAACCAACAAACTGTCCCTATATTACATGTATTTAAAAAGATTTTCATCAATAAAAGTTAATAATTAAGAGTATTTTAAAAAACTAATATAAATTTGTTACAAATAAAAAACTAAAGTAATTTTTTTAATAAGTAAAAATTTGTAGCACAAGTATTTGTATGCGATAAATAATGGTTTGTTAATAAAAAAAAAAAAAGAAATCCAAAATCATAAATAAACTTGTGGATACAGGAAGGGAGGATGGTGAAGAAAGACAGATAGGGTACATGGATTGATGTCTCAAATCATTAATTCCTATTCCTATTATTAAAAGATTACTACAATTTGGTTCAATCGTGGGGACTAATGTTTTCTTTTCTGCCTAAACATCATTATATTTAATATCACAAACACATAACCAATTATATATAAAATAAAGGGCATGACTGAAGCAATCCTTAAAAAGACATGGGGGTGTGTGTGTGTGTGTGTGTGGCATTCACATCTTTTTTTGTTTAGACGGTGAAGCACAATCATCAAAGTGCACAACTTGTGTTGTGCATCATGTCCCCACACTCACAATAATATCTTGGAAAAACAGGAAAAAAATGTCATTTCTTCTTTTTTGTCATTTTTTGCTTCAAAAACATGATAATGAGAGGAACGCGGTAGAGTTGGATATGACAGGCCCATAATAACGATCTATGAATTGGGCCTCATGCCCTGATACTTTTTGTTTGGGCCAACATGAATCGATCCATCATCTTAAAAAAAGGAAGATGCTTTCTACTTTTTTGGGCCTAACAAACTGCTCTATTCCAATACTCCATCAAAATATCTGAATTATGTTTTGTTTTACAAGTCTTGTAAATATTTGTGAATTGAGCACAGCGCTGACGGAAGAAAAAGCAGGTGAGGAAACAAACTTGCGTACGAAGACCAAAATGCTGCGAACAGATTTCCATGCGAATGCTTTTTTCTTTGCTTGTCGTTTTATGTCTTTGATGTCGTTCGGCGCTCTCATACAATGCAAATTCACACACGTCCATTGACACTTCTTTTTGTCACATTTAGTCTAAAGCATCGCAATTGATAGGCCTCTGAGTTTAAAGAGCTTTTCGTTTTGGTGATTGGAATTTGAATATGTGAACTACACTTGAGTGAGAATATACAAAGCCTTCACGCTAATCATTCTACTTTGGAACTTTTGCCTTTATCACTCTCTGACTAATGAGAGATTCACTGAACAATAGCCGACCATGACTTTTATAACACTAGCCTAGCCTCACACCACCTGAAACTTCTTGTACATTTTCCTCTATTCTCAATATAAATAACATTATTTACTTCTTGAATCTAATTTGATGCAACGCCAAACAATTTGCCGCTTAGTTTTGATGGGGAAAACAAAGATCAATCACAAGCTAAGGATTGCCTTGACTAAAAAGTTCATTCTCTAGGATTTTAATACTCAGTTCTAAGGCCAAGCATCTGAACGCAATAATGCAGTAAATTTAAAACTAGCGTACCAACTCCAAATATCACATAAAGGTTTTCGCCAACAATAATGCGGCCTCGCACCTTTCCCTGTCCTTTTGTTCCTTTTTTTCTTCAAAAGAAGCTGTTGTGTTTTGACTCGGACACACACACAAATGCCACTTATATAATTTTAATACACGTCTTCCTCCTTTCACTATACACTGTCCTTATAATTTTAACTGAGCAAATTTGTTTGCCCCCCTCCCCTTATCACCAATTTCAAACATATAAGTACTTCTCCGGTCCTACATCTAAAACCCTTTTTCTAGTGTAATTTACACTACAAAAAGATTTTATATTTAGGACCGATCTTTTTTATTTTCACTTTTTAGACGGTTTTCTCCGTGCCTTTTCATTTTCAGATAACTAACGTGTAACTCCAAGTGCCAAGTTATGATCCCCCAGATGGCTCCAGATCCAAAGTTGATAGCTTTATATATATATATATATATATATATATATAACTCATTGCTTGATTTTTATTTGGAGTTTTTACAAAGGCAAATTACCCATAATTCCATGGAAGAAAATTAAATACAAAGAAGTCCTTAAAAAAAACTCAAACTTAAATTAAATACAAAGAAGTCCTAAAAAAAACTCAAACTTACATATTTACAAGTCAGGTTACGTCATTTACAAATTAAATTTGCAAAAAATAATTTTTTTGAATTATATATGCATTTGAGTCTCTCATTCGAGACCTATAGATTTTTTTTTAGAAAAATATATTAATTAACCTGAAGACCCTCACCTATGGCCATGAAAGATTTAAAAAATTGTTCATGCAAATAATTCATTTTGGAAAAGCAGAAAACACCCTAAACGCCATAGTTTATTGAAATTTAATCCTGGCCACAATATAAATTATTACTTTAAAACTAGTTGAGGGTTAGGTCCGTTTTGATGTGAAACGAGGAAGAAGAAAAAAAATAAGAGAAAGAAGACCTGGGAGTCAAACATGAATAAACATTTAACCAAAAGGAGCCTTTGTGGATTTAGAAGATCTCTGTCTGTTCTTTTCTTTCCAACTATGATGATGATATTCTTAACTTGGACCCCAAGGCTTACCCTAAAGCATTTGAGACGCAAATAGAGACTTGCTTTCTGGTTTATTAACTATTACTATATGAACACTTAACCAGTAAAGGACAGTGAAAGGTTTTTGTTATTGTTCTCTCTTCGGTCCATGTTAACCCATCGATCAATTGTGGATTGAATCTTCGGAGTAAAAAATGTTGGAATGCGTGACACCTGTTACAATACTTTGATTTTGATTTTGCCTTCTAATACACTCCAAATATTGTAGACCTGACAAGTACACTTGTCTGTATTCGTAGTTTGGAATAGTCCCATTATATATAATGGATCCATCTATTCCACTATTAACTTGTACAGAACCCACCAAATAGCAGGTGACAATGCCTAACTAATTTGCTATAAACTAACACACACACACACACACACACATATATGAAAAATTATAATTGAAAGTCGCATCTCAGATTAGATTCCGCAAATCACCAGAACCAATATCGTACGTATCAAATAAACCTTAAAATAAAAACTACTGCAAGATATTTCGTACATGAAAGTAAATAAGAAATAAAAATATCTCTATGCCTCTTTGTGTCGAAAAAGATATCTCTCCCTTTTATGACGGGGAAGTACGTATCATTCCATACGTCCCCCAGGACGGAACAAGGTAGCCCAAAGATCCTTCTCAGAGCCTACCCTACGATACAAAGACACATGCCCCACGATGAAGTTCGGGAGATGCCTACGACGCAATAGGACTATAGTGTAGTTTTATGAGATATTGCAGTTGCACCACTTTCCACTAACCGACCCTGTAGCATGCGTGTTGAGAAATTTGAAATTTCTCGTTCTTTTTCCATGCCCCCAACCCCCCCAAATGTGTGCCTTATATATATATATATATATATATATATATATTCATTTCCTTTTCTCTTTCTACTCAATGAAATGACTGCTTTCTACTCCACTCCACACGAAAACAAATCCCTCTCTTTAATTTTTTTTTCCCCTAACGCTCCCATTTCATTATATATCCCTCTTGCTTTCCCTTCAAAGCTCAACCTTCCTCTGTTTCCCCTGCTTTCTCTGTTTCTCTCACTCGCACTCAATAAACACATCTTATGCCAGCCTGTTTTTCTGCAATTAACTCTGTCTATCTAACTACTCAAAGATGGGTAATTGTTTTGGCCGTTACGAATACTATTCAGGACTTGCCATAGTAGGTGCCATGGCAAAGCAGAGTAAAGTGGTAAGGGTAGCAAAGTTGGATGGGAAGATATTAGAGTTTAGCTCACCTGTTCTTGTGAAGGATGTGTTGAAAAATTTTCCAGAGTTACATATTGGGGCATCTAATAAAGCCTCGGAGTCAGAGCATCTTTCCCCAGACTATGAACTCAGAGCTGGAAGATTGTATTACTTGCTTAACCCTCAGTGTGATCCCCCTTCAAATGTTTCTTCCGCCGGCAACAGAGAGCTGACCAATGGCAGTAAGAGGGTCAAAATTGTTATAACAAGGAAACAGCTAGAAATGCTAGTGTCCAAGCAGATCTCTTTAGAGGATGTACTGTCCCAAGCCCATGATAGGACTTCTGATCTCCCAAGCAGTTGGAAGCCCAAACTGGACTCCATCCCTGAAGGGTTCGAGTAGCATGTATAAATATGTCCTTTCTTTCTTTCCTTCTTTTGTTTTCTCTTCTTGCTGTTTAGCCTTTTCTTTTCCTTCTTCCTTTTTTTGTTCCTGTAATTTTGTCCTGTTCTCCTTAGATGACATGGCCATTGTCGTAGTTGAAAGGAGAAAAAGGAAGAAGCAAAGAAAAGGCAAATGTAAAAGCTAGTATAAACTATATGATAAATAGGAAGTTGAGGTCGATTTTCACTTTGCTCACTCATTTTGTATTTGCGGTTTTCATATGTAATTGTGTGTTCTAAGTTTTAACAATGACAGACGGTGGCTTAGTGCTCGTTAGCCAACAAATTCAGAAACAAGAGAGGTTAAAAAGATCAGGTTTTATCATCCCAGTGAAAATTCATCTCATATTCGATGCTCATGTAGCAATTAATACGCCATGTTTACCGCTCTGTTTCATCCTTGCCTCATACGAAGTTGCGTTTCTTATTTTCCAACTGGTTGACGAAAAAGCTCTCAGAAATAAAAAGGTAGATCCGGATCAGAGTTATATTGCAAACTGTTATTTCATCACATGCAGACTTAAATCTTCGCTAAATGCATGTTTAAAGTGATTAACTCGGCTCACAACCACGGAGCACCACAAAACAACGAAGCGACTGTGAACTGGGAACCGGAAGATTGTATAACGCTCAGCCCTCCGCCTCTCAGTAAACTTTCTAGCACAGTATTTGGTTCAGCCAAGGGGAGGCTAATGAAACGGAGGGAAAAGAAGGGAAAGGATCGGGTTTTAACGAGATCTTGTTTGGGCGGGATGGGACGGAGGAGAGGGCGGCGCTTCATATCTCATGAAAATTCGCCATAACTCTTAACGCTCTGGAAAAGTTTGTCAAGAAATACCGTGTCCCATTTGATACGGCATCCTCCGATCATATTAATGATTATGACTGTTTCATTCCACACCGTCGATCATTGATACTATGATTGCTCTTTAATACTTCCTTCCTAAGGTAGGTTTTACCCCTTTCAGCATAGTTGACTCGGAGCTTCTAAAGAAGAAAATGAAGATGTTATTTCCGGGCAATTATTTTACAAACTGTTATTTCCTTACATACACACTTGTATCTTTAAATGCATACTTCGAAAATTAAAAAGACACTCAAAAACACTGTACAATACAAAAGCCTTAGCCTCTGGACCTCACTCGATTTGCACGTCGACGACCTTGCGTTCAACTTTGGTCTTAGGAATGGTGATGTAAAGCACACCATTTTTCAGCTCTGCCTTAACCTTGTCCTTCTCGCAGTTATCGGGAAGCTGGAGGCGAGTATCGTAGGAACTATAGCTCCGGGAGGACCAGGTATCATCTTTACCTTCTTCCATTTTACGACCACCTTTGATGACAAGAACATCGTCCTCCACAGAAACCTTAACATCCTCCTTGGAGAGACCAGGCATGTCGAACCTCATCTTGATCTCGTGCTCTTCCTCTTTGATGTCCCATGGGGCTCGGATTTCACTTCCCCTGCTTCCTGGGATTGTCATGACGTCTTCGAATAGTCGGTCCATTGTGTCCAGCATCTGACGCATGCTTCTCATGGGCGACCACGGATCCAATAAACCTGTATTGGGTCAAGAAGCAAGATCAATTCACATGCTTCGCAATGCATTACCATTAGATTTAGAAAACAGCCAGCTTTGGCGTTTGATTAAAGGAGTAAGAACCAATGACTTTAATTAGGTTTCGTTTCATATTTTTGAAATGATATTTTGGGCGAAATTGTTTTTTTGGTAGGATTGAGATTGACATATTTTAAGTATTCCTGTCAATTCGGCTTCACTCTGTTCTCGGTTTCTGCTTCATGCACATTTTATTAATCTAACCACACACAACAAGTCAAGAATGGATGAAATGTCAAGAAAAGATGATAATAAAGTGGATGCTAATTAATGATCAAGTAAAGCTAGACACGTCCAGAGGCAATTAACAGCGATAGTAAAATAGCGAAAAAGTCAAAAACTTTTTCTCCTATATTATTCGTTCCTTCTTGTTTTTCTTCTTCCCCTGTTGATTCCAAACTTGGTTGCTAAGTGAAGCAATATAATTCAGATTAAATTCAAATTCCACCCAAAAATAAAAGAGCCAAAAGGGCAAATGGTGGCAGGGTAACAATTGCAGTCAATGCCAACGTGACATCGCTGGAGTTTCACTAATGATGGAAGACGAACTTGTCAGATCCTAATCCTGATCAGTATGTTAATTCGAGTGCACGCATAATTCACAGCTCCATTCTCGGGTGATCAAGGATCATACAATCTTAAACATCTAAACCATTCTAGAGCAAATGAAAGGATGCACGATCACAAAACATTAGTTAACAATAAAAGGAATAAGAAAAAGACTTACCAAAAGGAGAAACATCCATGGCCATCCTGCGAGGCCTCCTCTCCATAGAGGTTTGTTGCTGGCCACGGTTGTCCTTATTGAAGTGAACGTCCAAAGAAGTGTCCTTGTTCTCATCAGAGGCCTGAGCCCTCACCACCCCAAAACGACGCAAAGGCTTCTTCGTAGTCATTGGGAAGTTCGCCAAACAAGGCTTAGTTGCAGAAGGCCCAGCCCCGTGAGATACAAGAGGCGACCAAGATGAGAAGGACACCGCTTGAGCGGCCATTGCGATGCGATTCAAAGAGACTTGAACTGAACTTAATCAAATACTTAGGGTTAGCTGGCTTGACAAAAGAGAAAGACGAAAATGTGAATATATAGAGAAGAAGGGAGAGCGAAGAGTGAAGAAGCGTCTGAGGAATTTGAGAGAAAGTGCGAAAGTTCTGGACTGGACTCCACAGCTTGTTTCTGGAATGGTCTCTGATTTATTTTTCACTACGGACAAAGGATCTATTTCTCAGAAATTCTCTCGGACCGGGCCACGTGCAACAACTAGTAGCCCTTGATCATGTTATTAGTTTCAATCTCAGTCGTTCATTTGATTCAACCATTTCTTCATTGCACTTTAGGAACAAAAATACGTAAAATAATACTCTTCCTGTTCTTAATATACGACCTAATTATTGAGTTGGTTTTGATCATAAATATAGAACCCATTTATTATATTTATCAATTTTCTCTAAATTACCTATATAGATACTCCCTCAATTATAATTAATTAGAAGAGAAAGAAGGGGTATTAAGAAAGATGATTATGGTATTTTACGAAAAATGTGTCACATTTTTTATAATTAACTAACTTACTCAATTTTTTTAATCTAATCAAATTAGTTAAATGGGTTTTATATTAAGAAGCGGAGGAGTACCATCTTTTAATTGCATCCCATGGACGGATGAAATAAGATATCCCTTCCGGACAATTTAGACATTAATAGCGGAAATATAAATTGACGTCTATTTAATAAACAAAATTTGGAAAAAAAATTCGTTTTTTTTTTCTATATCTAAAATGAAAATTCACACACACACACACACATATGTACATATACATGAAATAAAATAAGAGTCGAAAGATCAATCATATCAGAATTAAATCCTCTAAAATTGTAAGCTATACTAGATGGTTAATTAGTTAAGTCTGGTAATGCTTGAATTTGATTTGTAATATTAAATAGTATATTAATATAACAAGTAATTGAAAAAAATCAAGATCACAGTTACATATGTAATAATAACTTTGAGCACTTTAATAAAGCATGACAAAAAAAAAAAGGTGGGAAATCACCTTGACTGGGTAATTCTGTAATTCATCAGTTACAAAAACGGAGGTCATGAGATTTATCAATCTAAACCAAACTCCATGTACTCAAATCAACCTGCTCTATTAGCTCTGCTGGCCAGATGTCTTCATCAATTCAAGGTGAGAGGTTAATTGCATAAAAACTGGCTAGCCCTTCATATAGCAAATTAAAAGTGGAGCAATTTTTGAAGAAAATTTGACAAAAAAAAAGGGCTTATTTTTGTGACAGAGGAAATTTGAAACAAAACTTGACCCCTCATTACTCTTGCTAATTAATTCCAGCAGAGCTAGTTAAAAAGTTAGATTTGATCCTAAATATAATACATTAATTCATTGTATGCCTCATATTTATCAATCACTCCAAACTAAATTATTTAACCTATAAACTGATATATAATCTAATGATATATAAATGTATTTTTCAGAATATGAGGCCATGTTTGTTGAAATTAACTAATTTATCTAGACTCTAGCGTTGTTAATTAATATACTTTAGTTAGTTAAGTAATTCTTATATGAAGAACTGAAAGTAGTTCTCTTTAAATATTTAATATAAGAGTTATTTAATTAATTTTTTGGTAGATCAAAAAAGAAAAATAAACTATTTAATTCTAACAAATATGATATAAGTTAAATTAATTAATTTTAAAAAGTAATAAATATTAACCATAAAATGAATTAAGATTTTATATTCAGAATTATAAATAACTCTTTAAATAGTTTCCATAGCTAAGATCTGAGGAGTATAAGACTATAATACATGATCTAGACTTATATGTAGATTCTGGTTTGCGCTTTGGGAGTGGAAATATACATACAAATTAAACATATATATATATATATATATGATGATTTTCATGAAATCCCGTACTTAATTAGCTCGCTGCAAATAATAAAAGATTTAATTTTGGTATGGGCTTTAAAAGTGGCAGTATAATCATACTTTTTCATTAACTAGAGTCTGCGCTGAGATAAAATATGTTCTGTTATAAATTATAATTAGGCTCCTGGATGGACCGTGCGCTCTCTTGATTTTCCATCTAATTAAACCCTTCTGTTTAGCTGTAGGAAAAAAAAATTATTTAAATTCCCATCAAGGACACTTGGGTTTTGATCCGAACATTTTACGAGTGCATCAAATTTGTAGCCAGATGTGATTTTATTTTTCATATCAATCATTAATCATACAGGAGTGGCCAGTGGGTAGTGGGGACATTACAGAAGCTTGGAGTACACGGACTGGATATATGGTACTGAACTACCTTCCGAGACATATATCCTAGAAGGTTTATTTGGGCACTGAGAAAGGTGCGTGCATACACACACACGCACATATGTATATGTATATATATGTGGTACGGAACCACCTTCTGGACACCATAAGCTTAGGATGTTAGATATTTTATTATAATTATTATTTAGATATATATTAGGAAATTAATAAAATACTCTGAGTGTGGCCCTTTCAGTCAAACAAAGCCCAAGCCCAGTAGGGTTAAGCTTTTCAGTCCATATATGTGTTGATAACTCTCTGATGGTGAGACACACAACAATTGAGTTGACGGCTGAATATTCTGAGAGCGAGTGAAATACCTATCTGCTCCCTTGAGGTTCCCTGACTGGTGACGGCTAATCCAGTTGCCATCACTGTGCCCTATTCCAGTCAGAAGAGACCTGAACGATTCTTTTCTTCTAACTGTTGTTCTCTTTTGCAGCTCTATTCCCTTATCTCAGATCCCGAGATAATTAAAGATAAGACGAATGGCAAGAGGTACACAAAAATTCTTCCGCTGTATTATTTTATGAGAAGATTCACATCTCTTTATTGTTTTATTTATTTGTATTGTGAATCTGTCTTACACGTGGCATCAGAGCCTGGTTTAATTATTCTCTGCCTCTTTATTTTCTTTATCTGGGATGATCTGAGCATAAAATGGAATACAATGTTTTACCGTTGTGACTCACATCGGGTTCCATTAGCAGATCAGAGATAATTATTTTATACTGCAATTTATTTTATTGAAAATTAAATTCAGTTCTATATGTTTTATATTTTTCATGTTTTCGGATTAAAGGGATGTGAGGAGATTAATTTTGATCTCCCATGAATCATCATCCTCTTTAGTTATATTGGAGGATCCGAACAAATCTTGTTCTTTTTTTAAAATCAATTATAACTGACTCCATCTCGTCCAGTGAGCATATCTTGGATGTTTTCGAGCCCAAATAAGACCGGCGTTCATGTCCGGATATTCACCTATATGCTTGCTTCCATAAAGAAATCATTTTTTATTTATTTTGTTCTGCGTGCTGCTTGATCTGTATAATGGGACTGTTTCGGAATATTGGGACGAAAGGAGAACGATTTTTGTTCTCCGATGACTACTCGTCGCCTCCTTCATCGGAAAAATTGAAGGCCGAAGCACATGTTCGAAACTCTCTTCTGATTTCAATTTTTTGTCCCTTTTATTTGTTAATTAGAAAACCGTGCTGGGATTTCTTAAAACATCAAAGATTCTGCCTTTAAAACTGAAGTGCAGTGATGATAAAATCACTGCAACTGACCGAGGACCGCCGGAAAAAAAAAAAATGGCGTGAAGGCTGCTCTGGCCGACGGCTGGGAAGGGGAAGAAGACGGGTCGCGTGTCGGGTTATAGGGATCCGAATAGTTGGAAAGCAACCCGGTACGACGTCGTTTTGCGTCACTTCCCCTTCCCTCGTGAAACGCACCGTTTCACTTAAGTCCTTCTGGGCTAGACGCGTTGTGGGCCGTGCTTTTGGGTTCTAATCCAAAAAAAAAAAAAAAGGTTGTGTGATTCTGTTTTGGGCCGAATGTTTTTCTGGGCTTACTGTTTTTGCACAGAAATAAGTTTTTGGTCACTGTTTGGTTACTGGGCTTCTGTTTTGGGCCAGAACAACTATTTTGTTATTTTAGAATGTTCCTTTTAGGCCTATTTTGTTTAGATTCTGTTTAGCCCATTTAATTTTTATTTTCCAGAATAAGTTCATGTTAAATAAATAATTAATTGCAAGTTATTTATTTATTTGAAAATAGTTTTCACATGTAATTTATTTTATGCAAATATTTGAATTGTTTAAATAAAGATAAAAGTTAATCTTAGCTATTTCACATCTTGTGTAAATTTGTAAAATTGTTTGTTGTATTATTTATTTGCCTAAATATCTGGATAATAAATTTGGGCAGTTTATTTAATTACTTAAATTTTGCAATGTTTATTTTAAGTAGAAATATGCTGAGGTTTATGTTTAAATAATTGTTTGGATGCATAAAATAGTGGGAGAATTTAGTTTGGTTATTTACTTGTTAATTAAATTAATTGCTTAAATTCTCCATTGGGATGTGCATATACTGGACTTAAATGCACTTGTATGATATTTGTGATTAGCATGCTTCTTTAAGGAGTAGCCACAGCATCCTTTATCTATTGCATGCGATATAAATCACATAATGGACTTATAAAATATCAATTGTAATTAAATATGCATTCATAATTCATCTTTGCCCACAGGTAGATAATTATCAATGTATATTTAATTAGGGTGGGATAGAATTGCCTTGTATTTTCTAAGTAGCCCACAGGTATTAGGAAATATAAATGCGTTCTAGTTCCATCAATATGAGATAAATACATGCTATGCTAATTTCTTTGCCCACAGGGAGAACTTAGTGATACGTATTTATATTTGTATGCTTTATTAATGTTTTAAGCATACATGGCACAGTTATTGTGAATTGTCTCTATTTATTTGGAAGTTTGACTGATTCTCTAATATTGCAGCTGCATTTACTGTCCCTAACATTGTTGCTGATGCTAGTAACAAAATTATACTTGATGGTACTAACTACCCTGATTGGAGGGAAGACATTGCTTTACATCTCGGTTGTCTGAACATGGACTATGTCCTGGAAACTGAAAGGCCTCCCAAACCAGCTGATGGCTCAACTGACAAAGAGGCCAAAGAGTATTATGAATCCTGGGAGAAAAACAATCGCCTTACTCTCCTGCTGATCAAAACAAGGATTGCTAGGAGCATTCGGGGAGCAATCCCT